CACGAGGAATAGAAGGAGGAGGAGGAGGACGACGAGGAGGAGGAGGAGGAGGAGGAAGGGCAGCAACAGTAGCATGAATGGCAGCGGTGGGAGGAGGAGAAGGCAGCGGAGGAGGAGGAGGAGGAGGAGGAGGAAGCAAGAGTGAGACGCGAGGCTCTGCGGATTCTGAACGAGGACCCAACTCACCGGAACAGCAATTGCGTTAAAGCAATGTTTGTGCCTCTTGGGGGCCTCCCAGGGGCCTCTTGGGGTCCTCTTGGGGCGTCTTGGAGTCTCTAGGGGCCTCTTGGGGGTCTCTTGGAGGCTCCTGGGGGCCTCTTGTGGCCGAAGGCTCGGAATTTGACTATGGTTTTCCATGACTGGGACTCCTCTTGGCCTGTCCTGGGCCTCTCTTGGGCCGTCTTGGGGACCTCTTGGGCCGTCTTGGGCCGCTTTTAGGCCGTCTGATCTTGGAGCTCTCTTGGGGGCCTCTTGGGCTGTCTTGCAGGCTTCTTAAGAAGCCGCTTCGGACGGTGTGAAAGCCCAAGAAGTGAATATGCCAGAAATGAACGTTTTCCAAAAGGAATGGGGCGATGTTTGCCTGTTTCGGCCTTCTTGGAAGGCCTCGTGGAGGTTTCTTGGGGCGTCTAGGAGGCTTCTTGGGGCGTCTTGAGGCCTCTTGGTGGCGATCTTGGGCGTGTTGGGGCGCTCTTTGTGGCGCGGGTCTCTCTTGGGGGCGCTTTGGGGCTTTCCTGGGGGCTGTTGGGGGCTTTCATGGAAGCGTCGGGGCTACTCACTTGGGGGGGGGGTCCGGCGACCCGTCGGGGTTTCCTTTGTAATTTCAGAGGTAGAAGGAGAATATATATACATATATATATACATACATACATACATACATACATACATACATACATACATACATACATACATACATACATACATATATATATATATATAGCCCAGCCAGGCTAGCACATGACCCCAGCCAGGCTACATACATATTCCATCTGGATCAACCCAGCCAGGCCAGCAGTGACCCCCCCGTCGCCCCTGACAGGTTATTCGATGCGCGCGTCTTTCTATCAAACGCCAGCCCTCTTCATTTACCCCGTGCAACAGATCAAACCCAGTCCACACGCGCGCGCGTCGTCGCGCGCGCAAGCCGGAATGTGTCAAACACGTCAAAGTTTCGCAAGGATGTCAAGAACGAGGCCACCGAACACATATATGACAACCAAGATTTGCGCATCGTTGTTGTTGAAGAAAGTCTGCGCGCTTGCGAACTCTTATGAAATTCGCCACGTGAGTTCACGCAGTCCCCTCGCAAGCTTGCCGGGGGGGCACAGCATGTGTCAAATATCGCCATGCGGGCCACTCGCGCGCGTCGGCCGCGCGCACATGTCGAACTCATTCCAACACCATCATCGCAGACGCGAAGACACAATCATCGCCATCGGCGTCACCAGCATCGGCGCCATCATTGACCTTGCCGTCGTCAGTGTCATCATTGTCACCACCATGGGTAGTTACCATGATCATCGTTCCCGCCGTCATCGACGTCACTGTGGTACCGCGCCCACCAGGGTCACCGACTCGCACTCAAGTGCCCGCGCATCTGCGCGGCCTGCGAGACGCGCTGGGGAGTGCCCAGCGGTTACCGCTACCGCGTGCGCGTCGATAGCGCCAGACAAGCTGGCCGCTCTGCGCGCGAGCCTGTCTGCGCAAGCGAGGCCGCATCGATGCGCCAAACACCCATCCCAATCGCCGCCGCATTGTTTTGCAACCGAAGTTGCTGGTGGGTGGGTGGCCTGATTACCCGAGCAGTGGGTGTGATAATTCCAAGGTCAGCTAAAATTGTTGCGCCACATCGATTGCATCATGGAGATCGCACAGCATATATCGCACCACGCACACCGCACGACATAGACTGACCCACCAAGATTGCGCAGCTTACGTGGCTAGCAGCACACAATGTGGGGCCCGCGCTGGCCGACGTAATGCTTTGGCATTTATGTTGAATGGTAGCTGCCTGCGGAGCATCTCCCTGCACGCATGTGCGCTTGCAGCGGACCCGCTTCGTCCGCTATTCTTTTCTTCTGCTTCCCTCTGGGACGCAGAGTGCTACCGTTGTGGCGCCAGGGGGTCTGCACGTGTGCGCGTCCATTCGGCCAGTGGACGCCCCCTCCCCCCCGCCTTTCCTCCGTTCAGGGGCAACGTCGAGGGGGATGGGCCACTGATCGCTGGTGGGGGCTGATCTCAGGAGGAGAACAGCACACAGACACAAAGAAATGCCGATTCCCATGAGAAGAGTGGAAATTACGAGGAGTGGGGGGGGGAACACGAACATCCAGGAAATACGCAAACATGTGGGGAATCCTGGGATTGATGTTCATTTGCATGTGTGCCCCAGGGCCCCTTCACGACAGCCCGCCCAGGACCGTGCGCATTGCCGATCAAGGGCTTGGGGTCGATAGATCGCGGCGGCGTGCCTCCGATTGCAGGCCGCAGCCTCCACCCTGGAGCTGGTCACATCGGATGTTTTTGTTTGTGTCCACTTTCCGCAGCCCTGCCTGCGCCTCGCGGCCGGCCGAAGCCGTCGCACCGCACCTACCTCCCCCAGGATGCTCCCCCCACCCCCCCCACCCACCCCACCCCACCCCACGACGCCACAGGGCCGACGCAGAACAGCCTATCGCACGTTGAACGGCGCGAAAACACAGTGCACCAGCGCAGACGAAGATTACACGCACACTAGCAGCTCAGCAATACAACAGTTCCAGCCCCCCCTCACCACACAAGAGAGTTCATATGGTTCCCTGCATCCAGTCAACACGCCCGTATTGGATGACCAGCGCCCCCTCTTCCCTGGATTCTGCAGTTATAAGAAGTGGTGGGCCTCCCCATTTAGTTTTACAACGTGCGCAAGGACATGCGAATGCGTGTGTGCTTGCTGCATCTGTCGTGCCTATCTGGTTATCGCTCAGGTACGGCAGGCTTGACGCCCTCGCGGTGAAGCCGGACGGATTGGCTCAGGCGACCATCACGTTCAACCATTTTCCAGTCAATTCGCGGTGGTACCGATTGGATGTAGTCATCGGGGATACAAGGACAGAGGGGCTTGAACACATACAGATGTCTGCTTACGAACGTCGTATTGGCATAGGCCCTCTCGGCCCCATCCTGCTCCAATCCCTTCCTTTCCCCTCCCACCCACTCCCTCCATTCCCCCTCCACTCCTCTTCCGCCTGCCCCTCCTAGGAGGCAGTGGGGGCGGTATGTGTGCACGCACGCGCGCCGAGAGCGCCAGTCTGCGTTGAGCTCTTAGAGAACGCTCGGGAGGGGGACCCGAGTGGCTCCCTCCAGCGCGAAGCCTAACACAGGAAAACGGTTTCTTCTTGGCCGCATGTGTGGAGACGATGGCGGGCGGGCAGGTGGGACGGGATCGAGGAAGCATCGACAGATTTTCCCGAGCCCTTAAGGGTGCGGGATTGCTCCTTCGGTGGGTACACGGGCGGCATCCGACCAGTGAGCGAGGACGAGGACCGCCAGTGCATGAAGTTCTTTCCCAAGGAGCCAGTTGTGTTCTGATGAGCTCGCATGGCTGTGAATTCACACACGTTTTTTCTCTTCGCACTGCAGCGTTGCAGGCAAGACGCTGGGGACCACCTCGGATCACGATCAGTTTTCCCGTGTGCGGGCTGGCACCTCTTTCTTGGCGACATTGCCCCATGTACAGCCGACCAGCATAGTGAGGATGGGCAACCTTCCCAAGGGCACCTTTGCACCCCTGCTTCTTCGGCCCATCGTTGGCCACTTCGATGGCCGCGCCCCGGTCGAGAAGCTTCGAAATGCCCCTCCAAGGCCCTTGCCTCCTCATCGTGCGTCCTTATAATACGGGTCGGCTGCACTCATGATATGCATGCCACAGTGTGTCGTGAGCACCACGTGGCGGGGAAGCTCGTCTCGGAGGTCGTGGCGCGAGTCGCACACGCGTAGGGGCGATCAGCCCACGCATGGACAAATTCGAGGGCGCTGCTGCGCTCAGTGATGCCTCCTGCGAGGCTGGTACTGCTTGTTTGAGAGCCCTTGTCTCGCCAGTCGCAGCGTTTCCTGGTGGCCAAGCCTCGGGGAGCGCGCAGGGTCGAACAGCCCATGCAAGAAGAGAGGCGCAGCCGCGCTTCAGTTATCATGCTGCTGGGGACTGCAGGTTCAATTGCATTCGCTGTCTGTCATCGCCAAGATTACCTTCACACATTACATTTTTCGAAGCGTCTGCGGCGTTGCATCAGCGATGAACCTCGCAGGTGAAAGCATTGAGTTCAGAGCCCCATCGGAGTTATTGACTGACCACCGAGAAAATGATCTGGCATTGCCCCTTGTGAGTCTGCAAACTGCATTGATCATCAGCGGGGGAAGTGTATGTATGAGAAGTGGGTACCGCTACGTCAAGCTATGCACACTTGATTGTACGTAAAGGGTCCAACTGAAGCCAGGAACCATGAGTGGCTAGACACATCGAATGAGGTGGCTGGGCTTGTGCACGGGCTACCAGGTTTAAACCGACATCATCTGAACATGGCGATACATGCATGTGTGCGCTGTGGGGCGTGTGTGACTCAATAGGGTTCGCCCTCACCGCCCGCCCTTTTCGATGTTTTGCCCGAAGAGCCAAATATTACCTCAAGGCTAAGCACATGCCGAAAGCAGTCAAAGACGGTTCCACAAGTCTGTTTCGTTTTTCCTACTCTCCATTATCCTCCATCTCATCGCCAATTGGATACAGGTTTGCCAGGTCGCACATCGATGGTTAGAGCATCTTTCCATCTTCGGCCCGTTATCAATTCAACCGGACCAGTGATAGGGAGGCTGGATCATTGGATAAACGTTACCTGTCCAATACAGGAGGCTAGAAATGATTGGGCAGAGTCGTGGCCAAGATTTCACCGAGACCAGCCCACGAGGCGGCAGGAAGGGCCGCAGAGGGCCCCGCAATGCGCCGATCAAGGAACCAAGGGGCCAAAGATGGCTTGCAGGTGGCCCAAGCGCGCGCATCCCCACGATGGGCCCGAGTCCTGTCCGAATTCCATCCTCTCAGGGCCCGGATCGGGGCCAGTGTGGCCCATGGTCTTGGATCATCCAAGCATGGGCCCCGCAGCGCCTCCGAAAAGGCATCGCGACTCAAGCAAAGAAGGAATCCCCCAGATGATCCCGAACATCTCTTTTGCGAGGCCCTCGGGCCACCGCTGGCTAGGAGAGAGTCGTGAACAACCAATAGGTTTCGAAATGTGCGTTGAAGATTCGGACTTTGTCAGCGACGTTGGTCCGAAGAGGTGTTTCTGAGACTCACGTAGACGACCCGGGAGGCCAAGAAGCCAAGAAGGGGCCCAATACGGGCCGAGACGAACAGAACATCTGCCCCGAAAGGGGGGTTGGGAACGATTTGGCACTCGTTTTCGTCTTGGAGGCCGTGTTGACGCCGCCATGGGCCCCAGAACACCGGACAGTGCGCACCTTGGCGCCAAGGGCGAGGCCGCATGCGGGCGCAGGTGTGCGCGGCCCTCGGCTGGGTCGAGCGGGCGCCAGGCCGAGGTCAGGAGCCCGGGCTTGCCAGCTGTCCGCGTGAGGGTCCACGCGTGATGCCCCGCCGGCCTCGCGAGACTTCCCGAGACTCCCGAGGGGCCCACCTGTGACGATGTGAGCGAGCGCGAGCTGCAATCCAGACGAGCGGGAGACTTCCAACGGAGGGGGCCCATCGCCATCCCCGTCTGTCTCCGCAGGCAGACTGTGGAGGCAGTCGGCCAGAGACGTTGGCGACGAAACGTGGTCCAGCACACACCGCAAGGAAGAGCAACAACATATCCTGCCTGCTCCTCATGAGCGTCATGCATGTACCTGCTCGGGATCATCCGCCGCCTGTTCTTTCTATTCGTTCGTCTCCCCCCCTCAACCTCGTGCACCCCTGTGCTCCTCCCATCTGCGTCCCCATCGTCCACCCTCCCCTTCCATTTTCCCGTAGTGCTCGCGCACACGTGCGCAGTCAAGTCTGCCAGCCCAAGCTGCTCGGCTGAGAGACCCGCCCAGCCAGGCATCCTGTCCGACGGCGCTGTGTCGGAAGACCCCCGTCTCCGCAGCAGTTTAACAAGGAGCGAGTGACAGCGACGAAATGCGTTGACATCGATCGGGGACCATTCAGCCGCCTTGTAATCATTCCTCGCCAACAAAGACTTGCTCTTACGGTGGGGGCGTTGGTTAAGGAATAGTTCCAGGAGGCGCCAGACCCTGGAGGATCCCTTATCCAATGAGGGCGGCGGTGATTCCATGGCCAATCCACGATTAGAGTTCCACTGGCTTCCAGACCCTGGATTCCTTATCGAAGGTTTCCTTGTCCAATACCCCCACCGTGCTGATCTTGAAAGCCGTTCTCAATTCAAGCTCTGCTACACGGCGGTACCCTCCAGGGCAGGCACCCGTGACAGGACTGAGAGTTTTCCGACCGCGTGCGTCTCCCCACTGTCTCGATTAGCGCACACACGGGGAGCAGGCGTGCCCTGTGATTTGCAAAGCGTGAGAGCAAACGCCAACCGCAGCGGAAGCATCGATCTCGTCATCTCACGGCCGCGGTGGTCCCGCCATTCACGTGTGATGATCGGCTCCCACTCCCAGATCTCCTCACCCCTTGGTCCAAGATTGCCACCCAGATATCCTCACCCCCTGGCCCAAAACCAGCCGCCCAGATATCCTCACGACAATTCTTACCTGGGATATCATATGCTGGCACCCAGAGATCCTCACGACAATTTTTCACCCACTGACCACAAGCTGGCACCCAGATATGATCCATCCATATTGTCATCTAGATATCGTCACCCCCCTGGCCCAAAACTGGCATCCAACGGCTGCAATCAGTCAGTTGCCAGTCATATTACGTTGCGGAAATCAATTACAGGCTACGCCAGTAACAAATAAAATGGATGCACAGGATTGTCTTGGCGGAGGGCAGAAAGTAAGTCAAGTTGAAAGTGATTGCTCGGGTTGCCTCATTGTGTCCGTCTCGGGACCCTCGTGGGAGAGAGCGAGACGAAGAGAAAGAGAGAGAGAGAGCGGTTGACACGGACAGAGGCCGCTGGTGCAGCCATCATGTTCACAGTCAGTTTAGAAGCAGTTCGGTCTACGGGCACACTCGGTATAGTCACCCTACGGCCGCTTGCTGCCCACCCACAATTTTGGCGCAGCCGCATTCCAGCTGCACTGGTCCAGTCCACGCTCGGCCCGTGCACGTGCGCATTCTCTCCTCGGTATCGCAACCCGAGCGCGTATGCCCCCACGACATGCACGTGAGCACACACCCGCGTGGTGCACGTGTTCATGTGAGGCGTTCCAAAAAGGACCTTGCCTTCAAGGATCGAAGGAGTTGTCATCTCTTCCGCGGCGGAAGGTCGGCGGAAGTAAAACGAGGCCGCCTCCGCCGGCGGAAGCCGGCGGAGGGGCGGCGGAAGGCGGCGGAAGTGTTTCAAAGATGCGCCCCCAAGAGATGAAGACGTTTTTGGGCTCAGGGTTTCCGGAATCGCCCACCTGTCAGGAGGGAAAGAAACACACAGACACAATTAGTCGTCGATTCCCCAGAAAAGATGGGAAAATATGGGAAGTGGGGGGGAAGACAAAAACCCCGAAAACATGTGAAAATATATGCGGAATCCTGTTATTTGTGTGTGTGTGTCTTTATTTGTGTGTGTCCCAGGGCCCCTTCAACCTGTTCCTGTGCAGCGCAGTCCGAGCGACCGGCCCGCATGCTGCAGTCGTTTCTCTGCCGCGCAGGCGGCGCCCTCCCCCCCTCGCGCGCCGACCCGCGGCGGAGCTCGCGGCGACGCCGGTGGCGCTGCTCCAGCCCGCCAGGCCAGGGCTCGTTTCGATTCCTCCGATTCGATTCGATTCGATTTCGATGGCTTCCGATTCCGATTCGATTCGACTTGGGATTCCGATTGGGGTTCCGACTTCTCATTGGAGGCATACTAGCCTCCCGATTTCCGCCGATTCGTTTTTTTCCGACTCGGCTGCCGATTTCCGCCGATCCGATCCATCTCGATCGCCGATCCGACTTATCGATTCGATTCTGGTGTCTCCTGGCCAGGCGGCCGTGCTCCCACCCGCCCCCGGGGGGTCGCTTTCCCAAGCCGCCGCCGCCGCCGCCCCATACCGCGGCTCCCCGGACCTCTCTCAGGGCGGGGCACGCTCTGACCGGAGTGTCGAGGCGGATCCAGCGGTGGCGGCGGGGGCTCCCAGGAGGCCCGGAAGAGAAAGCGACAACGAGGCAGCAAGGGAAATCGGGTATGAGTGCCGCTGCTTCATCTGAGGGCCCGCCTTCTTCGGCCCCCCCCCCGTCCCTCCCTCCCCCCTTTCCTCTTGTCGTGCCTTCCCTTCCCGCCCTCTCTTTCCCCTGCCTTTCCCCTTCCTCTGCCCCTCCCTCGCGCTACCACCCCTCCTCCTCACCCCCCCCGTCCGCCTCTTCTCTCCCTCCTTCTCAGTTCTCGCAGGGCTGGGAGGGCTGGGCTGGGCCGGTCGGGACGGGTCGGGCTGGGATGGGAGGAGGAGGTTTCTTCGGGCAGAGAGCTCGAAATGGCCGCTCGGGTCCCCCGTTTGGGCCCTCTCTTGGACCCGTCTTGGGGGCCTCTTGGGCCGTCTTCAAGGCCTCTTGGGCAGTCTTGGGGCTCTCTTGGGCTGCTCTGGGGCTGTTTGGGGGCCCTGTTGGAGATCCTCGGACCGTCATGGAGCGATCTTGGGGGCCGCTTGGCCCGGGGGCCGCTTGGCCCTTGGGCCGCGTTGGAACGTCGGGAAGCTGGAAAGGCGAGAACGCGACAATCCGGCAAATACTGATGGGAAGTCAATGAATTTTGCCTTTGGAGGCTCTCTTTGGGTGCCTCTTGGGGCGTCTTGGAGGCCTTGCGGGCCGTCTGGAGGCGATCATGGGCGTCTAGGAACGATTTCGTGGCGATTTTGGGTTCCCTTGGGCCATCTCGATGGTTTCTTGGGGCTCTCTGGACTTCTCTTGGGGCTCCCTGGGAGGTTCCGAGGGCGGAGCCCAGGAGCAACACCATCTCCGATGGGACCCTGCCGGGGACATGCCCGGGGTATTTTTCGCCGCCCCGCGCGCGCGAACGAGATATGTATATGTATGTGTATGTATGTGTATGTATATATATGTATATATTCATACATGTACACATGCATCCAGACATACATACATACACATATGTACATACATAATTACCTATACATTTACAGACATGTACATGTATATCTACACATCTATATATATATAGACATACATACATACATATAAAGATGTATACAGAAACATCAGTTACCTGCCGCCAAAGATCTTAGCATGCCTCCGGCGCGCTGGACCAGCGAATTTGTGATACGCCGCCAGCGGATCGACGTACAAGAGTTGGGTTGGTTGCGCGGATGCTCGCGCGTATGTTTCCAGCGCAAGATCGCGCGCAAGCGCCATGTCTGCCGCAGGGTGTGCCGCGCTGGCGGCCTGCGTGAGCCGTCGCATGAGGTCGTCGTGGCGACTTGCGCAAGCCGCGCGCAACGCCCAGCGCAAATTCAAGAAATCCGCCCGGACCGTTGAAGGTCCATTCCCCGCCCGACAAGTTGAAGTTCTGAGGCTCAGAGCAAAGAACTCCCGACCCGTCTCGCACATCCTGCATGCCGCCGCCGCCAGGCCCCAAGGTCCTCGCGTTCCCCGGGTATCCCGCCTCGCGTCTTCGTCGAATGACCACTGCACGCCGAGGCCGCCAGGCCCCATTCTCCAGTGAGGACCTTCAGAAGCAACGTCATGCCTATGAGTCTGTTTCCTCATCGGTCATTGGCTCGAGCCCGAACTGCCATCAGGCATCACGCAGCCCTGAGAGGCTGCGTGCCCAGCAATGGACGCCTCGCTGGCCCGAGCCAGCTTTGCCGCATTCGACCACTCGGTCGTCACCGACGGAGGCCTGATCGGCACCTCCCTCGGAGCGGCGGCGTCGCCGGCGCTGCTCCTGCCGACAGGCTGGCTGCTGCTGTGCGCGTTCGCGTTCGCCGTGGGGGCGGCGTGTTGCGTGCTGCTGCGGCTGGTGAGCAGCACCTGCGGCTTCTGCTCGTGCGGGCAGAAGGAGCTCGAGGAACAGACAGCTGCATACGCACACGTTTCGGCCACGCGCAGAAGGGGGGCGGGGGGAGGGGGGAGGGCCTCTTAGAAGCACCCCTGCTTCTTAGAAGGCGCGGGCCGTATCTGTAGATGTAAGGCCGGCGCCTTCTGAGAAGCAGCCTCCTTCTAAGAAGCCATCCCCCTTTCCCTCGACCCCCTTGTGCGCGCCGCCAAACGTTCTCGCAGCTCCGCGCGGGGTTATCTTGCTTCGGCGCTGGGCCCCCCTGGCAGCGCCTCCCGCGCCCCCCCCCCCCCCCTGGCGCGCTGCGCGCGCCAGGGGGCGGGGTGCAGCGCCGATCCAAGCAATCTGCGCGGACCGTAAAGGAATTGTGCGTGTAGTCGGGGCGCTGAACAAGGAGCCGTGTTCGTTTGGGAGGAACTCGGTGTTCTTTGGTTTTCCTTAGATTCATTTCTGGAAAGGGGTGGCCTCGCTCCTTAGTAAGGTTTCTTGAGGACAGCGCCCCAACTGTATGCCGTCGATGTCTCTCCAGGTCCACTCGCTCGACTTCCTACCCTCCTCCTCCTCCTCCTCCTCCTCCTCCTCCTCCTCCTCCTCCTTCTCCTCTAGGACCACTCGCTCGACTTCCCCACCCTCAGCTCCGTGGAGCTGCTGGAGCAGGGGAGCGTGGACGAGGTGTCCAAGGGAGGCCCGGGCGGCGCGAGGCGCGGCGGCAGCCACCAGGAGCTTTGGGTGCGGCCAAGAGGGGGGCCTGGCATCGCTCGGACGTGTGCATTTTCTCCCGCCGAGGACCATCGAGGACCATCCCGGACCATCGAGCAAAACAAACACGCACGAAACCGACCACTGCACGGGAAATGGACGTCCGAGGGACGGCAAGCGGGTGATGATTAGGGTTACGTCGGGCATATCCTTCTAGATGAAGAGTCTTCAAAACGAGTTTGAAATAGAGTCTGGGAACGAGGTTTCGATTGTTTTTGGCTGTGTTCGAATATTGTTTGATTATGTTTCGGTGTTCTTCCAACGTCTCCCTGTGGGAGGACTTGCCCGACCTAAGTCCAACGGGGGGGGATGACTAGGGTTAAGTCGGGCATGTCCCTCTACAGGAGGAATCTTCAGAAATAGATAGAAAATAGTATGGTGACGACTTTTCGATTGTTTTTTGATTGTGTTCGAATAGTGTTTGATGTTTGTTCCGTATGTCTTCCAACATCTCCTTGTAGGAGGACATGCCCGACCTAAGGCCAGGAGGGGGTTGATGACTAGGGGCGGGGGTGGCAACATGGCCAAGGCCACGAGATGTCTCCCCGAATCTCGTTCCCCCGTTTTCGTACTTCAGTCTGCCCCTCCCACTCCCCCACCCCTCTTACTTCAATCGGCGAGGCCTACACTCGAAGACGAGAAATTTGCATCAACATAAATTGGCGGCGCCCAGCGCGGATCTCCCAACAATCCGCGCTGGCCTCCACAAGTTGATGTTTGTGCCGTTGGTTGTTCTCCCGCCCTGCTTGGACGCCCCCCCCCCCCCTGGACGCCCCCGAGGTATGAAGGGGCCCTGGGACACACAAATACATAGACACAAATAACAGGATGCCCCATCTGTTCCCACACTTTCTGGGTTCTTGTCGTCCCCCCCACTTCCTATATTTTCCCATCTTTTCCTGGGAGTGGACGACTCTGTAAGAACGGTTTTTTGAAGGCAGATCTGCCTTCAAAAAACCGTTCTTACAGAGTAGACCAATTTTTTGAAGGCAGATTTGCCTTCAAAAAACCGTTCTTACAGAGTAGACCATTTTTTGAAGGCAGATCTGCCTTCAAAAAACCGTTCTTACAGAGTAGACCAGTCTTTCCTCCTTGCAGGTAGATTGTGTCTGTGTGGTTCCCCCCTCCCGAGAGGAGTCGGAGCGCAAGTTCCGCGCGCGGCTCCAGGAGATCGCCACGGCGGGCCGCTGGCCGTGCGGGAGCGGCGGCCGCGGCCCCGACGGCGAGGGGGCGCGGGGCTGGCACCCGCAGCTCGACGAGGACGAGGCGTGGCAGGTCTGCCGGGCGGCGAGCTCCGCACGAGGAGGACGAGGAGGGAGGAGGAGGAGGACGAGGACGAGGACGAGGACGAGGACGAGGAGGAGGAGGAGGAGGAGGAGGAGGGAGGAGGAAGAGGGAGGAGGAATGAGGAGGAGGGAGGAGGAATGAGGAGGAGGGAGGATGAGGGAGGAGGAGGGAGGAGGAGGAGGAGGAGGAGGAGGACGAGGACGAGGACGAGGAGGAGGAGGAGGAGGAGGAGGGAGGAGGAGTAGGAGGAGGGAGGAGGAATGAGGAGGAGGGAGGAGGGAGGAGGAGGGAGGGAGGAGGGAGGAGGGAGGAGGGAGGAGGAGGAGGACGAGGAGGACGAGGAGGAGCTCCCTGGCCAGGCCCATCCCGAGCCCAGGAGACGTGCTCTTCGCCCTCCCGGCCAAGCCGGGAGGGGCGTGTAGCGCACACGCCGCGGCCGGGTTCGGGCGTGGCCAGCCCAGGGAGCAGCGGACATGTGCAGAGCCCCTCGCCAGCCCTGGGTGGCGCGCACAGGGTTCAGGCATCCCAGACGCCTGGCATCGCTCGAACGTGTGCAGTCTTTCCTCAGCGAGAACCATCGAGGACCATCCTGGAACATCGAGCTAAAAAAACACGCACGAAACCGAAGAATGCACGGGAAATGCACGTCCGAGCGACGGCGAGGCGATGCATTGGCGATGCGGTGCGATCCTCCGGCCCCATCAGCTGGGGAGCCCATCTGGGAGGCATCTGCAGGCAGAGGGGCGGCGCGAGGGGGGCAGCCCTTCCAAGAAGGGCGGGGGGGCCTCGCGGAGGGCATGAGGCCTCCCGTGCTCGCCACCTAGCCCAGACATCCGAAGTCGTGTGGGGTCCTCCCAGCAGGGCCTTGCCCTCGAGGAGCGAACGAGTTGCCTTCTCTCCCTCGGCGGAGGGCGGCGGAGGCAGAACGGCGGCGGCCCGGCCAGCGGAAGCCGGCGGAAGGTCAACGGCACCGTAACGGGTACTTACTAACGGGTATTTTGAAATTTTGCCGAAAGTTGCCACTTTAGGGCCTCTTTCTGGCAATGCCGCGTTGCCCGCATCGGGAAGGGTTGGGTTCGCTGGGTCACTGGCCAAAGTACCCGTTAGTGGAGTCCCCGTTTGTGGGGCGCTGAGAAGGCCGCCGTATCCCGCCATGTGTCTTGTCGGTGCGCCGCCCCAGGGGTCACGACCCCTTCCCTGGGACAAGTTTTTCAGCCCAGATCTGTTTTTGAAGTAATCCAGGGGCCCGACAGAGGACCCTGTGGTGGGGCCGAGAGTCGAGAAAGAGCGCCCGGAGTTTGAAGGTAATGCCGCCAGAGACTTCGCGGCAGGTCTCTGCGCAGCGCTTCTCGAAGCTGCTCACCAGCGGGTACCTGGCCCTGGACGAGGTGCTCGGCAACGGCATGCGCGACTTCTTCGCTGCGCACCGCGTGCTCGCCGAGTCGCTGTGCGGCAGCCTGGGCATCCGCCTGACCGTCCAGTTCAACCTGTTCGCCGGCACCGTGCTCGCGACCGGGAGCCCGGAGCAGATCGCGGCGCTGGGGGCGGCCCACGAGCAGGCCAGCCGCACCGTGCAGTGAAGACGCTGGAATCCTCCTGGATCTTGGCATTTTCGGACGTGTGCATTTTTCCTCCTGCGAGGACCATCGAGGAGCATCCTTGATCATTTGGCGGAAAAACCACGCACGAAACTGACAAAAACAGGAAATGGATGTCCGAGCGATGGCCAGGGATGGGGTCGGAGCAGATAGGGTCGGGGGATCGCGCCGCATCGCCTAGCCATTTGGGATGCAGCTCGACGTGAAGCCCGAGCTTCTCCACGCCCGCGTCGCCGGCGCATCGCCGGCGATGCATCGGCGATGTGGGGCGATCCTCCGACCCCATGCTCTCGGACCTCAGTTGAGACGCCTCCAAATTAGGATTAAGTCGGGCACGGCCCTCTACAGGAGGAACAATCAAGCATAGTCAATTAAGTACGGGGACGATGTTTGTACTGCTTTTGTTTTTTTGTTGTTGTTGACTCTTGCTTGTCTTCCAAAACCGACCCGTAGGAGGACATGCCCGACCTAAAATTAGGGGCCGCCTTGGGCTCAGGAGGGGCTCCTGTTTTTCGGGCCGCGCCTTAGAGATCGGTCGGGCCGAGGCTCGTCGTGGCCAGAAAGGCCCCTTCCTTGCTCGGCGTTCCATAGGGTAGCACGGCGGCTGCACTTGCGAGGTCCCCCTCGCCAGAGCTCGAAGAAGCAAAGCGGCATGAGAACGGCACGCCGCAGGGTCCCCGAATGCCTCCACATGCCATATCATTTGCGCGCGGGCCCCTGAAACGAGGGCCGCCTGAGAATCCGGGACTCCCAGGACGTACCCTGAGCCCCTCAGATCACGATACAATTATCGTCTCACGAAGTCACCTTCGGTGCGGCCCCACTGGCCCCCCGATCGCCGAACAGTTCGCCGAGTGCGCTGCGACAGCAGCGGCCTGCGCGCCCGGGGCTTGGTCCCTGGGATGGCCAGATTCCGAAAGTAGGGAAGGCCCCTCCTCCTCCTCCTCCTCATCCTCCTCCTCCTCCTCCTCTTCCTCCTCCTCCTCCTCCTCCTCCTCCTCCTTCTCCTCCAACTCCAACTCCAGCTCCTCCTCCTCCTCCTCCTCCTCCTCCTCCTCCTCCAACTCCTCCTCCTCCTCTTCCTCCTCCTCCTCCTCCTCCTCCTCCTCCTCCTCCTCCTCCTCCTCCTTCTCCAACTCCAACTCCAACTCCAGCTCCTTCTCCTCCTCATGGGTCCCCCCCGCGCCGCCCGGAAGCCGCGCAGCCAGGGGCACTCTTTCGGTTCGGAGGGCGCACGGTAAGACAAAACGCATTTCTCCCGCCTGGCCCAGATCCGCTCAACAGCTGTTCCCAGACACCGCCCGGGATCCCTCCCGAACCGTGTTTCCACGCAAGGAGGAGGAGGAGGAGGAGGAGGAGGAGGAGGAGGAGGAGGAGGAGGAGGAGGAGGAGGAGGAGTAGGAGTAGGAGTGATAGGAGGAGGGAGAGGAGGAGGAGGAGGAGGAGGAGGGGAGGAGGAGGCGGAGGTGGAGGAGGAGGAGGAGGAGGAGGAGGAGGGAGGAGGAGGAGGAGGCGGGGGAGGAGAGGGAGCGAGGGAGGGAGGGAGGGAGGGAGGGAGGGAGGAGGAGAGGGAGGAGGAGGAGGAGGAACCAGACGAGAAGCGTCCGGGAGGCCCAGGGAGGGCGAAGCGAACTGATGGAGGGCCGCCGCTGGCCTTGACTGTGGCCCTCATCCGGGCTTCTCTGCCTGGGGCCACTCTTTTTTGATGCGCCAATTTTCCACCATCACTACAACAGGTAGGAGAGGGAGGAGGGGGAGAAGGAGGAGGAGGAGGAGGAGGAGGAAGAGGAGGAGGAAGAGGAGGAGGAGAACCAGTGTAAACCCAAGAGTCACCAATAATATTGGAATAAGCTCTCCCCCCAAGCTCCCGTTTCACAGGCCCCTACAGCGGTTCATTTCCACAGAGGGACCAGCCGCGTTGGAAGACAACCAATTGAAGACCCGGAAGCATGCCAAAACATTGTTCTCGGTATTCCAACGCCACGGAGAAACTTGCTTGTTGCGCCTTGACGATCCTGAATGGTACCAGAACGCCATTCCTGCGACTTCAACACCGCGAGCCATCATGACTGTTGCGCCCTCATAATCGTGAGTTCTTCCAAAACATCATGCCTTGTACGCCGAACACGGGAACCCGCGAAATTCTTGCACTTGTTTAACCTATGTCTGCGGCGCTGCGGCGAGAGCCATATTTTGAAACTGAGCCGCCCTCGATCCGTGAAGCTCTTGCAAACGTTGAAAACGAATGTGCGCGGCGCTCAGGCGAGAGCCACATTTTGAAAAGGACCCGCGCTCGATCCGTGAAGCTCTTGCAGATGTTGAAAACGAATGTGCGCGGCGCGAAGGCGAGAGCCACATTTTGAGAACGACCCGCCCGCAATCCGAGAAGCTCCTGCAAATGTTCAAAACGAATGTGCGGCGCTAATGCGAAACCCACATGCTGGAACTGACCCGCCCTCGATCCGTGAAGCTCTTGCAGATGTTGAAAACGAATGTGCGCGGCGCGAAGGCGAGAGCCATATTTTGAAAACGACCCGCCCTCGATCTGTAAAGCTGGTGCCACTGTTTAAGTCTCCGGGTCATAAATGGTGAGGAAGTCTCAGGCGAAACGCCCAGCCCGCCCTAAAAAATTGCCTCGGGGTGCGACAGGAAGAAGTTCTTTATAAGGAGAAGGAATGGAGGAGGAGGAAGAAGAGGAGGAGGAGGAAGAGGAGGGAGGAGGAGAAGGAGGAGGAGGAGGAGGGGGAGGAGGAGGAGGAGGAGGAGGAGGGGGAGGAGAAGGAGGAGGAGGAGGAGGAGGAGGAGGACTTCCCCATCCTCCCTTCTCCCCCTTCATCCGTGGTAGTGGTGGTTTAAAACTTGCCCGTCATTCTTGGCATCGCTCGGACGTGTGCATGTTTGTTGTTGGCGATGGCCAGCAGGGGTTATCTGGCAAAATCAGCACACACGAACCCATCAGATGCACGGGGCATGGCTGTCCGAGCGATGGCGAGTCTCGCTTGCAGCCGCATCAGGGCGAGGCCGGGTGCTTCCTCCTCACGGAGCGGGGCGCGGGCGTGGTCAGCGGCCTCGTGGTGGAGACGACCGCGACGTGGACGCCAGAGGGCTTCAGACTTCGCTCCCCTGGCCCTGACTCGGAGAAGGTGTGGATATCGCAGGTCGGACAAGAGAACTCGAGCTGAACATAAACGTTCGGAGTTCAGCGCGGATCTTTAGGATGGGTGCTGCGCTTCGAAGTCCGCGCGGAGCTCCGAACGTTTAGGCTTCCGCCGGTTTCCCTTGTTCCAGCAGGGCTTGGCGGCCAGATGGGGCGTCGTCATTGCGCGCCTCATCGATGCGTCTGGCAAGGACCAGGGGCCCCAGGGGTTCCTCCTGGACATGACGACCAGCGGCGTCTCCCGGAAGGACATGGGGGCCAAGACGTCCTTCAACAGCCTCGACAACGCCTGCGTGAGCTTTGACGATGTGCTGATGCCTCATAATACCCTGCTGTCCCGCTACGGCGACATGCGACCTGATGGCACTTTCCACGCCAAGGGCACCCAGGGGGCGCCGACATTTCAGATCGTGGCGCAGCGGCTCCTGTCTGGACGGATCTGCATCTCGGACGCCGCCATCACTTACTTCTCCACCGTACTCCGAGACTGCGAGGCCTATGCAGGACGCCGTCTGGTCTACGTGAGCCAGGACCAGCAGACTTCATTGCGGTCCTTGCCATACATGGCAGCTACGTTCGACCGCCTACACGCAGGCCTCACGGTCCACCGCCATTTCATACAGTGGCTTCAAGATGAGTTTGCGGTCCGTCTTGACACCGCATTGGAGAATGGCAACGACAAAGAGTCGCGAGAGCTCACGAACCTGATAGCTGCATCTAAGGTTCGGACAGGGCTAGGACGAGGATGATTCCGTTCCAGGACGTTCTGGAACGCTCTCAGGTCGTTCCAGATCGCTCTGAGAAGGCCGCGGCGCCTGAGAGATCCTCCAGAGCCACCTGATCTCATAGATCCTCGATTTATCCTCAGCCGATGTTATCCTCGTCCTGCCTTCGTCTTAAAGGTTGAGGCTGTCGAGTTTGCTATCAACGCGGTGCACCTGCTCCGGCGCAACGTAGGCTCGTATGGGCTTATGCGGGACAGCCCGTTCGGCAGCAGGAACGAGATCTTGTTCTGCTGCCGCTTCGCCGAGGCCAGGGAAGCCCAAAAATCCAGCGGGGTATAGTGGAAGGGGACAGAGCCTAGGGGGGAAGTTAGACGGAGTATGCCTTCTCAGAAGGCTCGGAAGTCCCCAGGCCTTCTCGGAAGTTGCACTCCCCGAAGACGCAGAAAACTTGTCAGAGTGCGCGAGGGGTGCCGAGAAGTCCCGCCGCCTTCTGAGAAGGTCTTCTCCTTCTCACTTCCCCCCCTCGCTTGCCGCCGAGAAAGGGCGGAGGGAAGGGGTCCGGAAAGGAGGGGCACGAGTTCTGCTGCATGCAGCTGGTTTCGGCCGCGCCGCCAGGCGTTTTCCCCGACACGTTGGCGGATGCGCGGAGGCCCTGGAGGAAAAGCTGCATCAGGTGGTTCGGTTCCCCCCCCCCTCTCGTCTGCCCCGACAGGATCGGCAGCGGCATAGTGCAAAACCTTGGAATCTGGACTCCTACGGGCCCAAGGGTTCCCCAGGTGCTTCCGAGGTCGCATGTCGTGGAGGGGAGCTCCCCGCACATCATCTAGCGAAACTATGGCCAGACAGGGTTTCACTGTCCATGCGTCAGGTCTCTTTTGGCAAGATTGTGAATGTAGGCGTGGGAAGGAGCCCGAATACCATGTGTATGGTTTCAGCTGTCCTGGTGAGGGTGACAGTCGGGTGTTGCAGCAGATGCTGACCCGGGACTTGGTCAAGAGACACAGTAGCCCTTACCAGCTTGCAACCCTTGTGGCCAGCACGCTGCGGGACAACATAGCCTGCACCGTCGGCATCGCGTCTCCGACAAAGAGGATGCTCCTCTTGAGAAACAAGCTCCTCTTGCGGCTGATTCGTTTCCTGCACCTGCAGACGCGGCAAAACATGAACGGATGCAAGAAGATGTCCAAGCGAGACGCAAGGTTGCGGGCATGGCTAGATGCTGGTGATGCCATCTACGATTTGGCCAAAGTTCATGCACAGGCTCTGATTCACGCCCAGATCGTGAAGCGATATGGTACGACCACCGACTCAGAACGGTTTGCTTCGATCGCCAATAGCGCGTGCGAGGTTTGCCACCAGTACTGATTTCTATCTGTGCCATGGCTCGAGCTCCTGACGTAGCATGTTCTTAGCATCTCTCACCCTGCCTCCAATTACTTTCGAATCCTGCCGTGTTCATTTTCCGCTGTATGGAATTTTCACCACGTCTGCAGCGCACGTTCATGCGGAGGCACGTCTTAAAGTAGACAAGTTCGCTGCGTTGGCTCAGCGTGGTCACCTGTACAGGCTCGCTGAAATGGAGCGTCCGATCGGCTGCTTTCGATGACGCTGCCGGAATTGGGAAGTGCACGCTCGCACGTACTGTTGGCAGGCAGCGACCAGCGAGCAGGTAGCACAGAGTGACAGACCTGTGGTCGGGCCCCATCGGTCCTGAGACAGGGATGTCTTCTCCTATGCGAAGGTGGTCTTTACAATCATACTGTTTCTCCCTCCCCCCTCGCCTGCTTGAGGCGCGTGGTATCAGCTGAGCCGATGTAGTACCGATGTGCACTGTCAGCGGAAGAGCCGCACCTTCATTGCCACGTAATTCGCACATGTCAGACAACTGCTTGCAATTTCGCAGAGGAGCGTCAAGGTACGTTCGCGGGAATTGTTGGCCGATGTTGGCCGGGCTCCAATAACTGTTACGGCAGTACCACTCGCTTTTCTCGGTCAGTCTGTGCATCAGCCCCTCCTCAGATCAATTTATGTCAATCGTCAACAGACTGGTTGCCGAAAGAAAACCCTGCAATTGCCGCTGCCTCCAATTTCTGCATTGTGTGAACGCCCTTCCGTGCACTCACGGCGTGCGACCGATCTAGTCAGCGCGCTTTCCGTGGGGCTCATTGACGCCACGCCTTTCAAAGCCATTGCCGTACTAGTCAGGATGAGGGTCCTCCGCTGATGCGAACACATTTCAAGCCGCACGAGTGCAGGGTAGACAGGGGCAAGCAAGCCTTGGGATCCGACGCTGCGAGAAAGAACAACACACACAACATCGCTAAAGATCACGACCAGAGCCCTGCGGCGGCATGCTCCGAGCCGGATGGATCTGGGAAGGAGGAGGAGGAGGAGGAGGAGGAGATGGAGGAGGAGGACGAGGAGGAGGACGAGGACGAGGACGAGAACGAGGAGGAGGAGGAGGAGGGGGAGGAGGAGGAGGGGGAGGAGGAGGAGATTTCGGGGCCCCGGACAATGCAGCATCGCCCGTTGTATCAAACATGCGAGTTGGGCGGCCGGAAATGGGGGCCAGCCTGCCTGGGGGCGTAAGGAAGAGGACCCTGAGGGGACCACGCCAGTTTGTGTGGTTCGTCTGCCCCTCCTCCTTGCAGCTGGCGGGGGCGTAAAGAAGAGGGCACCAAAGGGGCCACGCCTGTACAAAAGGCCCCTTGGGGGAGGAGGAGGAGGAGGAGGAGGAGGAGGAGGAGGAGGAGGAGGAGGAGGAGGAAAAGGAAAAGGAGGAGGAGGAGGACGAGGAGGAGGATCAGGAGTTCTGGAGTTCTGGATCTCTGGAGTTCTGGATATAGCGGCTAGGTTGGGGAACGCTTGCTTAAGCACGAGATTCCTGCTTCTTGGCTGGCTCAGCTTTGCTGTGAGCTTTTCGAGCTTTCGGCTGGATTCCCCGAGAAATCCGATCGAGGCAATCCGTCTGCACAGTGCAGACCCATGCCAAGAAACACCCTGCCTCCAGGGTGCCCTGGGTTGCTTGGGTTTCGATGATTTTGCTGTGGGAAGCATGACGCTCCCACACCACACATCAATGGCCATCCTGGGGTCTCAGGGTTGGGCTTCTTGTGCAAGGTTTCTTGTGGACTGCCCTCCACTGTATGACTCTGATCGGGAAAACTCCTTTCCCACACACGCAATTTGGGCATTTCCGCCCACCCTAGCGTTTCGTGGCCCCATAGGGAGCTCGACCGACGGCCCCAGTGCTACCGCCCGCATGCGTTCCGCCCCACCCAGTGCAGCCTCCCCAGCGTAACGCTCGCTACCTGGCCCCCCCTCACCCCCTGGGTAACGCTAACGATCGTACTGGGCGGGGCGGGGGGGCGGATTGTGCTCACAGGCGTGGCGTGGCGCCGCAAGGCATGCTATGGTGTTCATAGGCGTGTTGTGGCGCTCGCGGGCTCCCCGCCTGTTGCAGCGCCGAGCTCACAGGCATGGCGTGGTGGCGAAAGGCATTTTTCGGTGCTCGCATGCATGTTGTGCGTTTTGTGGCACTTGCAGGCTACATGCGGTGCGCATAGGTCAGGCGGACTCCCTGCCAAGGTGCCCTGCTCGGAGGGCGGCGTGTCGGGGGATTGATGTCTCTCGGCTTTCGGCTGGGCGGGCGCTCAAGGTTACACGCGACGCAGGGGCCCGCTCTGGGCCCCGGGACCCACAGAAACAAGCCCACGGCGAGAAGTCGATATCGAAGATGGGGTCGACGGTCGAGGGCTTCCATGGTCTTCCAGGAGCAGAGATCGGTCAAGATCGAACAATCCATGTGGCGTCAGGAACCAACGCCGCCGTCATCGCGACAAGAACCTGCCGTACCCAGCACGACGGAGAAGGCGAAGACTTACCGGCCCCCCCACCTCCTCCTACCTCCTTCCCGCGTCCTCCCAAGTGTATGTTGTTTTGATTTGGGAATCGCACGGCGCTGGAGCTTTCGACCCAATTGTGAAGCTCCTTCTGTTCCTCCTGTTGCTCCTCCTCCTGCTGTTCCTGCTGCTCCTCCCCCGCACCGTAACCCCACTCTCAAGGAAGGCCGCCAGGATCGTTGAAAGAGGAGAAGAAGAGCATAGGGAGGAGGAGGTGCAAGAGGAGGAAGAGAAGGAAGCGGAGAAGGAGGAGGAGGAGATGAGTGACGAGTCCCGAAGACTTCCGTGGTCTATGGCGAGCCCCGCAAGGAGGCCTTGCAAGCTACTAATGTGCTCGTTTGCACGTTAATTTGGCGTTCTGGTGTACACAGGCGATGTGGTGCACGGAGGCATTGTGGTGTGCGTAGTACACATGGTTGTTCTGTTGTACATAGGCGTTGTGGTGTACACAGGAGCTTTGGTGTACGCAGGCGACGAGGTGTACGCAGGCGCTGTTGCGCACACGGCTGCGGTGCACGCAGCTGTTGTGGGGTACGGAGGCATTGCGGTGTACACAGGCGGCGGTGTGTCGCCTGCCGGCATTGGGCATGATCGTGTACGAAGGGACTGTGGCGTGGCGCGGACGCACCCCGACAGGTGCACGCCGCCGTCGCCTTTAGCGTTACTCTCCCGACCAACCCCCCCGCGGGGAACGCCTGTTACCCCAGAGGGAAAGAATCGCTCACTGGGCTCTCTTCGTCCTCGTTCGGATGTGCTTGAATGCCGCTTGATCCACATCCCGTGTCTGTAATATCGCTCCACGTGCTCTGCCTGGCTAGCCCTTGAAGTACTCGACATCATGCCACATGTGTTCTCTTATTCGAAGGCTGTCCTTTTCCCTTGGGCGATGCTCCCTCCACTCAGATAACCTAGGTTCCTAATGTGCTAATTATTATCATGTGTAGTTCCATCCTTTGATACTTGTGCCCTGTACCTCTTCCCCGTACCACTCCATCCCAAACTGTTCCCTCCATGGCCACATTCCTCGTCTCAGGATCCACACTCTTGTCCGCTCCGTCGTGTGCCTCCGCCCCACGCTCTTCACTTGGACACTCCTCGAGGTCATCATGGTGACCATGGTGTTGGATGGCTGAACGCGATGAAGGTCTCTCCGCTTGGATTGCGGAGGCTGTTGGACGATGGACCCCGTGAGGGCCCGTCCGTTTAGGCCAACCGAGGATGCGGTCAAGTCCAGAAAAGGAGAGAACGTTCCGCCGGGAGCAGGAGGAGCAGGTGAAGCAGTACGAGGGAGGAGAGGAGGTGGAAGGAAGGAGAGTGGAGGGAAGGGGGGGGAAGGGATGGAAGCGGGAGGGGAAGGAGCAGAGAGCTTCTGGACCATCCCTGTGGTCGAGGGGGCTATTCGAGAGCCTCCCATAAGACCTCTCAAGAGCCTCTCACAGGCCCCGCATGGGCCCCTCAGGAGCATCTGGGGAGCTCGGGGCCCTCCCGGGCACCTCTCGGGAGCGGGAGCCTTGCGGGACCCTCCCAGAGGACCCTCTCGGGAGCCTTCAGGAAGGTCCGAACGGCGGTCCCCAGAGGCCAACCAACGGCGGCAACCCGGCCGCCTCCATGTGCTTGACGCGCCAGAGGTCTGTCGGGGGCGTCCCACAGTCGGGGGCGGCCAAGAGGGGGGTGATGACCCTGGGGGGGGGGACATCATGAGGTGGACCATGATATTTCCTAAGATTTCATGGCGCCTCTTCTTAGTTCGTTACGTCCCTGCCCCCCCCGGGCCGCGCACATGCTGCTGGCCATGAGTTGCCCTCCCCCCCCCACCCCCTTGGAAGCCCCGCTGTTGGCCGCCCCCGAAACAGGGGGGTGATGGCTAGCTCCAGACTGGACTTGTGTGGGGCGTTTTCGGTCCTCGAAACGTTTGACAAGGAGCCGCCCTCTTTCCAACTCCGTTTCGCTCCTCCGTTCGTTCCCTCTTCTCCACTTCTCGTACTCCTAGTCTTCCTCCTCCTCCTCCTCCTCCTCCTTGTCATCTTCCTCCCACTTGGATTCCCCTCCCTTCTCAGCGCTCTGATATCCTTCCTCCCTCCTCCTTCTCGCGAGGAGCATACAGTGAGGGGAGGTGGGGGTCTTAAGGTCACAGGTGTTGATTTTCCAAAGGGGCCAAGAATTCAGAATCGCCGGCCGCGTCATGGGCATATCAAGGAGGTGGGTCGTTGTGGCGAGCGACGCCCAGGAATCAGGCATCAGGGAGGTGTCAATTGCCATTCCCGCGTTGGGGCCACGGGGAGGGTGGGTCCCCGTGGCGAGAGCGGCACCCAGGAATCAAAGGTCGCCGTCGTCGCGCTGGGGCCACGGGGACGGTTGCGTCCCCGTGGCGAGCGGCACCCAGGAATCAAACGTCGCCATCCCCGCGTTGGGGCCACGAGGGAGGGTGGGTCCCCGTGGCCAGCGGCACCCAGGAATCAAGGGTCGCCCTCTCCGCGCTGGGGCCAGGGGGGAGGGTGAGCTCCCCTGGCGGGCGGCGCCCACGAATCAGAGTTCGCGATCCTGGTTGTGGTAATACAGGTGGCAGTCGTAGTAGCCGTGGAAAACGGTAGTAATAAAAATGATATTAGCAGTAGAAGTAGTGGCAGTAGTGGTACTGGTAGTGGTAGTGGTAGTGGTAGTGGTAGTGGTAGTGGTAGTGGTAGTAGTAGTAGTAGTAGTAGTAGTAGTAGTAGTAGTAGTAGTAGTAGTAGCAGCAGTAACAGTAGTAGTAGTAGTAGTCGTCGTAGTAGTAGTAGTAGTAGTAGTAGTAGTAGTAGTAGTAGTAGTAGTAGTAACCGTAGTATTCGTAGTAGTACGAGTGCTAGTACGAGTGCTAGTATCAGTGCTAGTACTAGTAGTAGTAGTACTAGTAATCGTAGTAAGCATACTCGTAGTAGTAGTAGTAGTAGTAGTAGTAGTAGTAGTAGTAGTAGTAGTAGTAGTAGTAGTAGTAGTAGTAGTAGTAGTAGTAGTAGTAGTAGTAGTAGTAGTAGTAGTAGTAGTAGTAGTAGTAGTAGTAGTAGTGGCGGTGGTGAGTGGTAGTAGCAGTAGTAGTAGCAGTAGTGGTCGTAGTGGTAGTAGCAGTAGTAGTAGTAGTAGTACTAGTAGTAGTCGTAGTGGTAGTAGTCGATGGTGTTGTAGTACTAGTAGTAGTAGTAGCAACAGTAGTAGTAGCAGAAGTAGTAGTAGTAGTAGCAGTAGTTGGTTGTAGTAGTAGTAGTAGTAGTAGTAATGTAGTGTTGTTGTTGTTGTTGTTGTTAGTTGTTGTTGTTACCCCAGCGAAACCAATTGCCCTAGCCAGCTCAACCTGCCAACCCGTCCAACCAGCCAGCCAGCCCACCCAGCCACCCCGCCATCTAGCCAACCCGTCAGCCAACCAGCCCAGCCGCCCACCCCTTCATCCCGCCAACCAGCCGATCCC